AAAAATCTTGAAGGACATGGGTTTTGGAGGAAGTGGCTTAATTGGATAAGCTTAGACATATCCACTGTTAAGTTCTCACTAATTATATGGAAACTCTAAAGGTTTCTTCCAATCTCAAAAGAGGCTAAGGCGGGGGGACCCTCTCTCACCCTTCCTATTCATTCTAGTCATGAAAGACCTCAACCACATGATAAGGAGAGCAAATGTCAATGGATGGTTAATAGGTTTTAAAGCTCAAATGTAGGGGAATATGGAGAATGAGTTGGGGGTTACTCATTTACTTTATGCAGATGACTCTCTGATTTTCTGTGAGGCTAAGGTGACACAAATTAGACACATCAGAGCAATTCTCACTGTTTTTGAAGGTGTTTCTGGGCTCCATGTTAATTGGCAAAAGAGTTTGGGCATGCCTTTGGGAGCACAAAACAAGGACATAGGAGTGTGGAATGATGTTCTGAAGAGATGTGACAAGAAACTTGCAAGGTGGAAGAGTCATTACATCTCTTTGGGAGGGAGATTGACCCTGGTCAAGTCAGTCCTAGATGTTTTATCTTCCTACATGATGAGTCTTTTCCCTATTCCAAAGATCATTGAGAAAAGGATCAACAAACTTAGAAGATCTTTTCTTTGGAATGGAAAAAGAGAAAATAGAGGTTACAAGCTAGTCAAGTGGGATATTGTTACTCTTAGTAGGAAGCATGGAGGACTGGACATGAAAAAGCTAAGCCCCAGAACTCCTGCCTTCTATAGAAATGGTTATGGAGATTCTACACTGAAGAGCTATCACTATGGAATAGATTCATCATTGACAAATATGGACTACAAAGTCATTAGTCTGCTGAGGAGGTTCTGGGAACTTTTGGGTGTAGTTTTTGGAAGACCATAAGAAGATTATGGCCACAGTTTAAAGATAGCATCTCACTTAAGGTGGGAAATGGCAGGAAAATTGACTTCTCGAATGATTTATGGATTGGAGAAGAATGCCTTGCAACTTTATTTCCAGATTTGGTTATACTCAGCCAACAGAACAAGGACACAATTTCTCAGATATGGAGACCTCAGGGATAGAATTTCTTGTTTAGAAGAGCCCTCAATGACTGGGAAATAGAGAGAATCAGTGCTCTATTTCAGATCCTAAATACCTTCCTAGGCACCTCCAATGAGCCTGACAAGCCTATATGAAAATTACAGAGGAAATAAGTGTTCACAATGAAGTCTTGCTACTGGAGTAGCAATGTTGGTCAAAGAAGAAATAGAATCTGGCCTTGGAAACTAATTTGGAAGATAAAAATACCTCTAAAGGTATCATGTTTCTCTTGGTTGGTGAGTAGAAGGGCATGTCTAACACATGAAGTGTTCAGAAAAAAGGAAGACATATTTGTTCTAGATGTTTTATGTGTGATCAAGATGTTGAAGTCAATGGACATTTGTTCCTCCACTGCAAGGTAGCTACCAACCTATGAAACATGTTTTTCTGCATCCTTGGTGTAGGCTGGGTAACTCCACAGACCACTAAGGGTATGTTAGACAACTGCAAGGAGATAGGAAGAAGTCATTCTACTGAAGACTGGTGGGAATTAATACCAGCTTGCATTTGGTGGACTCTATGGAAAGAAAGGAATGCTAGATGTTGTGAGGACAAAAGTAACAACATCAAGAAGATAAGGATGAATAGCCTTAGTTTTTTTATACTTTTGGTGTAAACAGGATATGAGGGGGGGATATAGAACTTTTTGTTGATTTCATAGGCAATTTGTAATCTCCCTAGGGGTAAGTTTTGTTATGCTCTGATGAGATTGTAAGTGACCTATGCTCATCCTTATTTGATGATGAGACTTTTGTGAATACACAGTTACCCTTATCTCAAAAAATATATAAATTGATTTTTCCAGTTTACCAACAAGAGTAAACGAGATAATCTCACCACCAACTCGCTTTACCTCTACGTCTTTCTCCTTAATCTTGGTTCTAAAATAATTCTCACAACATTCCTAGTTTTATAAATATGTAAAATACTATAATCAATATCTCGTGTTGCCTATTCCTCTAGCCTTTTGCACAGTTCATTTAGTTTCCCATAGGCATACAATATTAACTTTCCTATTGTTTAAGATTTTCATTAATTTTTGTCAAGTCTATGTTCTAGCTACCTACCTGAATTTGTCTTTTCAAGACTATCTTTTTTATCCTAATCCATTCATAATACGAGAATCCTTTCTTAATTTGCACTACATCCAAATGTTGATGTGATTGGATTGCTTTATTTATCCACACCCATCCAAATTGGTGGCCTTTCGACTTTACACAGCATTTGGATGTTGATGAGACGAGACTAACTTCTTTCCCACACTCATTCCTGATAGGAACCCTTGTCATACTGTCTCACAACTAGGAAAAAATGTGATGGAACCCCTTATTTATTTCTCATCACTTGGGTGAATGTAATGCGTGCCTAGGTGAGAAAGTCCTAATGATATCTATGATATGAGAAATTCTAATTGAAATTGGTTAGTTTTACGGTGGAAGCTAGCCTACTAGTAATCCTCCTCCTTTATTCAGGTTTGGAATCTGCAATGGAGGTAAGCTAATAAAATTTGCGGGGAGCGGGGGGGGGGGGGGGGGGTGTGTCAAAAGA